AATCTATACCAGAAAACAAGTGTGTATGCCTGAACTCTGTTCTCAGCTGTGGCCAGCTTAAAAAAAGAATACAAAACTGAAACTCTCCATTCATTTAATACAATATAGCACCCAGAGATCCCATTAAAAAAAACAAAACAAAAAAACAATAACAAAAGCAACCTCAAACCCCCAACAACAAAAAATCCTGCATAAAATTACACAAAAATGGTTTACCGGTGTCCGGTTATAAAACACAGTATGTGAGAGTTTAAGTTTCTTTATTTCCCAGTGTGAAGTCAACAGGAAATATGTACATATTTGTGTGTTCAATACTTGAGTATACTGCCCTTACTGGCATGATAGAAAAATTTATAGGGGAAGTGTTAATCTATTTTAAGTCAATATAAAAGAAAGCCTTCAATTATTATTAACTAATGAAGCTGAAAGGAAAAAAAAAACCAAAATACAAAATCAGAAAAACCACCACTACTGAGTAGTGTAGTAAGATTTTCCCTATTGCATATAAAATGAATAATACATGTGAATTCTTAATTTTTAATGTAGATATCTTTAGACGTATTATATATCACTATGAGTTACATATATCCACCCGTAGAGAAAGAGTTACAAACAGGTGCACATGACAGAGAATAGATGGAAATTTATGAATATACTACTCTTTATATAGATGCTCATTATTCCAACATGCATACGTAAAAATCTTTGATCTCTGAATGTTCAACTATGGTCTTCAAGGAGGAAACAAGAATGGGAAGCAGTTTATAAAAAGCTTGTGCTAGAATTGTGAACTGAGCTTGGTTGAATAATGATACTGTATACATCGCTCAGAATCAAGGTCAAAAGTGAATTAGGAATCCAGGCCCTGAGTAATGAGGGCTTAGCACTTAGCAGAAATGACATGCCCAGTTTCCAGCTCAGAAGTGCCAGCTGACCTGCCAACCTAGCATTCCAGATCTGAAAGGGGGAAATCTGCTCTCCTAGCTACAGACAAGATGTGTACTACTAATTATTGCTCGTAGAGGCTTATGATGAAGTACGGTAGGATAGCTGTCCGGAAGCCAATTCTTAGCCTAGAATTCAGGCAGCCCAGGCAATGTAAATCTGTCTCACAAAAGTAATATAAGCAACGTTCTGAAAGAAAGGTCTTTTACTGAAGGGGGATAGAAAGGGAAAGAAGCAGTCTCACCATACTATCTAGCATAAACTCTTCATTTGAGCTCTAAAGAGAATTAATACTTGGTTGTACTGGGGGACACTTCCAAAGAAAAAAGTCAGTAAAACAATCCTTCTCCTCATAGAAAAACTAAGATGATGAATATATTGAAGTTATCCAAGAGGTCCTAGAGTCTAGTGTTGTTGATTAAATTAGACACCTGTTCATTTCTGACCTCTTCTGTCTTATGAGAACACATGTCAGCAAAGTCTTTACAGACTCAAATTAACTCTAAACATTTGTAGCATTCTTTTTTTTTTTCCCCCAGTTACAATTTTCTCATCAATTTTCTCATTTCCAAATCACTACAAATTAAGAAAAAAAAATGCCTTAATGTACAAAATATGCAAATACTGGACCATGAAGTCAAAAAATGTTGTTTATCCTGTGACGTTAGTAATCTTTGTTCAAACTACAAATAATGCTAGAAACATACCTAAGGTATATTCAGTCCTGTATGAGGCGCTCATGTTCCCAGATTTATACACAAGACATGACACTGGCTGAAGCACTATTATTAAAGAGAGATTAAAACAGCTGTACATTATGCTGAAGCACTCACTCTTTCCTTTACAAACAGACGGTCCTGGATTACAAGCAGCACTTGACCATTTAAATCACTACAACAACCAGATTTAACCAGCTGGGCCATATTCTCTTAGGCAATGCATGTTGACCTCCTCAGTCACAGCTGCTCGGATGAAATTCTCATTAGACAACTTATTTTCAGAAGCCAAAGGACTCTGATTAAATATATCTATTTAGACATAATAAAGTCTTTCACTGTACCTTTTCCAATGTTATGAGGTACAACAGAGACCACAAGTAGTATATACAAGTATAACAGACACCTAATATCTGAAGGTATACCACAAAATATTTAAGTATTTGACACCAGCAACTCATATTACTCAAATTCAGATCTTACTGATGGATCAAAAAGTTATTACAATAACATTAAGAGAGACTTGTTGCTGTACTTGCGCAGGGGTTAGAACAGATGACTGGAATTCTTGAGTTCTTTATTCCACTTCTAACTCTACAATTAACTTGATATATGACCCTGTGTTAGCCCAATTCCCACAGCTACATCAACGTTCATGGAGCTCCTCCCTATAAAGGATGCTAACATGTACTATTAATTTATCCAAAGGAGTGATGCAAGATTTCAAGCCCCACAGATTTTACACAGTAGTGTACAGTAGAAATACATGTCTTTTCCCCATTACATTCATTAAAGCAATTATATTATGCTATCTATTTGCTCAAAAAATCAGTAGGTGTTTTCCAATATGGGTAAGCAATTTCGTGACAGATCAGGACTTATTACACAAAGGGTTCCTCAACAGCATTGGCTGCATACCATTTTAAGAAAAAAACTCCATAGAAACATCCTATTTTAAATGATAGATATTAAGGAGCATCATGTATGGTACATGTGCGATTAGGCTATTAATTAGGTTGTTTAAAAGAGACTATAAGATTGCAAAACATTTTCATCATCTCAGACCTCATTTCTCCAACTGACTCTGCACTGAGTCAGTTGCAGCACCCACAGTCACAAAGATCAGAGTCTTAAAATAGTAATTATTTTTAAAATGTTATTTTATTCCAAACAAACAAGCATGGAGATATTACTTCTTTTTAATTCAGAGAAACCTCTGAATACTGAAATAGGTATTCAAATCTGTCCTAAGAATTTTGGTATTCCTAGTCTACACACGAGTTTAAAATCATTGAACTTCCTAAGTGTAACATTGTAAAGAATTTCCAGTCTTTCCATTAATGATTTTGCTGTGTTAGTTTATATGGTACCAGTCAGATGTTCATTAATTATTTTCCGTAAAATGGAAGTGATCTTTTTTTGTACAGAAAATGCTGGATGGACTGAAAAGAACTGAACATGAAAATACAGTCTATGACCTTTGAACATATAGGGAGACTGTAGAATAGTTTTCCAGTATAATATGGTCCATAGAAGGCAAGATTACTTTATAGATCAGAAATTACCTTTATTTTGCAGCTTGTGAGAAGATACAGCATGGGAGGCTCAGACTCAGTGAAAGGGAGATCTCTGCTGTGCACACACCTCTTAAATCAACTAGTGTATAATAACACGGAGGAAGTGCAGAAGATTCTTGAGAATTCATACAAAAATAAGCTACGAAATGCTTGAATCCTTACAGTAAGATACTATGTTTAAACTTTTTGATGCACATTTTTATTAGCACACCATTCAGTATACTCCTGGAAAAGTCTTAGCTGTGGTGTCACTATAATCAACAGGAACTTGTATATTCCCGCAGCAAAGTATGAGCCAAGACCTTTGATTAGCATGGAGTGCCGAATGACTGCTACTGACTGTAAAAATCAACTTTGCCAAAGTAACATTTAAAATAGTTTTCCTAGCCTAACTACTAAATCTAAGAAAGTAATTTTTAAAAGAGTGATCTTTACAGCTGAAAACAGACAGATGGTAGTAAAGAATCTGGGACATTCTCTCTTTAGAGATGTTTCACCAGCTTCAGAAAGGACACCTATAGAACACATTTATATATGTGCTGGCATTTAACAATTATGCCAAAAAATTTGAAAGCCTACTTCCATCCCTACATGATTTTATCCCATATTTAAACATGTTATTGTAGCAGCATCAATTTTAATTGAAATCTACACTGCTACATGGAGCCAAGGGATCCTAAAGTGCACTGTTTGAAGTGCACTGTGACCAAACCATGAAATTGAGGGGGTAAAATCATTCTGAACTCATTCATATTTCAAAGAAAAAAGAAATCACAAAGTTCTACTGCCGTGTCATTCTACTAAGTTACAAATACTCTTCCTGGATTATTTTTAATTCTGCAAAACAACACTGGTAAAATAACTAACAGAATCCACACGGATGCCTCCACACCGGTTTATGTATTTCAGAGCCTCCTGCTCTCACATCTTCCCTGGTTCAAACTCAAGTATGAGCTCACAGACTAGAAGGTATTGTTGCAGAAGCAACCAAGAATTCATTCTACTGGACATGGGGAGAGATTTTCATAGTGGACCCTGACCATGTGAACACATATACTGATAAACTCATTCTCCAATTATGTTTAGTTCCTATCAAGGCAAAAATCTTAGCAAAGTCAGTGAAAATATCTGAATGAGGAGTGAATATATAAACTGCCTTAGATCGCAAGGATTTGTCCTCATTTTTATCTCTCTCTTTTAACGCTTGTAACAATATCTGAGCAGACTGTAAAAAAATTTCTTCAGCCACAATTCTAGACGTATAGGTCAGAACTAGGTACTCTTTACACTTAAACCTCTTTCCCATTCCCCTAGCCACAAATGCTGGGTCATTAAGGTGATGAAAGATGAGAATTTCTAAGGCAAAACAAACCAGCTCATGTTCTATTCATGCCTATTGTTTAAACCAAACATTTATCTTTTAAAAGAACAAATACCGCTGAAGAATATCCCCCACAACTCTACAATGTTGTTATGAATTCATCATAACCTTTCAAGAGTTGAGTTTTCACCTATACCGACATTCTTGCTTTGATTCACAGACAGCCAACACAATTTAGAAAGTTTGAAAAAACTGGCATATTTGCCTAAAATCCCTAATAGGTCTCAAACTACCATTGCCATGGTAACCTGTGAATAACTTTATCCTAGCCTTTGCCAATTATGCAATTTTCTGGCTCTTGATACCCAACACATTCTTTGTGCCATAAAAACTGTTGGGTTTGGGCGTGGGGAAAACGTATTAGTCTTATCCAACACATACCCTCTTGCTCAGTCCTGGTCATTTCTTCTAGTTTCTTCTGCTTCAATGTGTCCACCACATCTGCAAGGCTTCCTTTGCGGCGTTCTGGTGTTCCAAAATTAACACTGGTCATTAGCTCACTGCGGTCACGACCTCCTTCATCGGGCTTGTTTGGTGAGGTAGAGGTATTTCGGAAGGAATATAGGGAACATAACTTATTACTCTCTGAGTCCTGCAAAGAAACAATACAATGTGAAAACATAAGCTATTCTCTTACAACAAAAAAATCTCAAACAGGCAAAAGTTGAAAGCATTATTTATTATTCTGTAATGCTAATGAGCCTACGTGTATACTCCACTTTCTAGAATGAGATTCTAGATTTTAGTTTCTCAGTTTCAGTGCTTGACAGGGGCTCTTTTTTCCTTAAGACCAGTCCTCTCCATGCTTCTAATGATCATACTTCATGCCTGAGACACCCTCATCAAGGATTTTCCTTGTCAGAAACAAGGCACTTCAACACTTTTTTCAGTGAATGTGTTAAGTTTTTAGTTTTATTTAGTTCCTTAAGTAAAGGCAATACATGTAGCACTGAGAGAGAAAATACAGGCAAGGACAAATTATTCCTGGATGGATCCTCAGCTAATGGAAAACAGTATCATTTTAAAACTAGAAAAAGAGTTAGGCCAATAATGACTGAGGAGAAAGGAATCTACTTCACAGTTAAACAAAGCTTATGGTATGTGTCTACCCATGCTCATTCACTGCTTTTTAAATTAAACCCTTTTCTTAAAGAATTAAGGTTGTAATGCTTCTAATATAGAAAAAGGAGATGTTACTTTCCAGGCTAATGTAGTCAAAAATGAGCAAGGAAATGAGTTTATGGCAGAACAAATCATGTTTGCTGATACATAGGTATTGAGACTACATGTATCGGAGAAGGTGTTATATAGTCAAAAACACACAAAGTAAAAAGGGTTCATCTCCCTTGTCAATAGATAACACGCAGTATCTGAGCAATAACCTAAAAGAAAAAAAGCATCAAAAAGCAACGAGCAATGTCAATTCTCCTCAGTTTTATGATACCACCCAACAGTCAACCCCTCTGTGAACTTCTCTGGCTCTGACTCCTCATCGTCCCAACCATACACGCAACATTTGCTGCATCTCTGCTTTCACTCTTTCAGCTAAAAAGAGCACAAATTCTTCCTCAAAAAAGTGCATAGTGTTCCCCACAAACAATAATATTCCTACCACTCTATGAGCTGAAAATACTCATCTACAGAGAAGAAACTTGTGTTGGGAAATGTCCCAGGTGAAACAAGGTCTGAAGAAAGATGGACTAAAGAACATTAACCATCGGCAACAACATCAAACATAAACCTTTGCTTCCGTCTTGAACGGATTAAAAAGTAGCTGTGCAATGTAACAGAAGGACTAACACTAACAATGAGCAAGTGTGGTAACTAAGGTGGTGGTGACAAGTCATCATCAAGCACAGCAGCATATGATCAGCACAGCACTGTTATTGCCATTGGAGAAGGAGGCAGCATTTGCTCATGATGTTGAAAATGTATTTATTCACTAAGACAGGAAACTAGAAGAAGATGCTATCACATCCCAACAGTAGCAGCACCCCTGTCAACACAGTAGGAGTGACAGAGGTTTTGTAAGCGCAGACAGAGAGGTGACAGGGAAAAAAAAACTTTACCTTCATTTTTTCATCTATCAAACATTAAAGAAACTTTCATTTCACCCATTTGTATTCATTAAATAATCAAATACCACAAAGGACAATAATAGCTTAGACAAACCAGGTACAGAGTGAAATTTATTTAGTTGTTTTTAGAAAAGGAAGGCTTTCTTATCTTCAATTCTTTCTGAAAACTACTTGGCGTTTTTCTTAAAATTTGGTCTAAGTTACCATAGAGATGAAAAAAGCATCTTCTAGTATTTTTCAAGTGTAAAACTTGAATTTCTAGAATACATTTCCTCAGTGAAGAATTAATACTATATAACACGTCATTTTCACCTTTGAAGACTACAGTATAAGAGCATCTTAGTAATTTTAAAGGACTTTGTTCTCAAGAAAGCAACGTCCTCTTACAGCACATGAAGCGTACCCATCAGGCTTAATACAGGGTTTTTCATGCTCTCAGCAAGGAACACTAAATCTATTGTTTAGGCCGGAAACAAGAAGATAAGGCTAATCTGTGGAGCAAGTAGAAATGACTGAATGTTCTTCCTCCTGATAACCTAGCCTGTCCCTTTTCTGGATGCGTACATGGTCCTTCACTGCTAATGAAAGATCCTCCAAGTCCAGCATCCGTTAGGTAGCACATCCACACTTCTTTTTCTTGACCAAAAGACTGTAATGTCCATAATCATGATGAGAAGCTTAAATTCATTTCAAACCATGTACATTTATGGAATGGAGGAAGAATGACAGCCTGTGCAAGAACGAGGATCTTTTCAAGTAATAGATTATTTCATATTGTCAGGTTTGTAGGTAATTAAAATTTAGAATAAAAATAAAAGAGTAAAAGGTATCCCTAATATTTTTGGTTCAGTTTGGCCCTACAGCTATAGTATTGAAGTCACTAAATGGCTAATACATTTGCAGCGTATTATCTGAATCGGCACTCTAAGAAACCCAGCAAGGATGACTTCTTGAGCTTTTCTGAAATATTTCAGAAAAAAATCTTTCCATCTTTTGCTGAAATCAGAAATGGTTAAAAGGAGCGGCTGAGGATTCAGCAAGTAAACTGCACAAACTGAAAGGCATTCAAGGGATTAAATGGGCAAATGGAAATACTGTAGACCAGTCCAGTACAAATACCTTATCTAATAATAGCAGAACTCATTTAGAAAAATCTAAATCAGCTGCATGTACAATTATCCACAAGAAACAAAACCAATTCCCATGCATTCTATGATTCTAGAGACATTTGTGAATAATCTAGAAATAAAATGTAGCTACAATGAAACACTGAAAAGGCTTCAGAAAGAATTTTATATCTATGCAATCAGAATAGAAATTTTTCTCCAACGTGTCTAATGTTGGCAGCCTTCTTTTTTATCCCAGCCATATGAACAGGTTATATTGACCTCACATCCATGGCAAACTAGACAGATCAAAAAACAGTGGGGCAAGAGAAGCACCTCTGTTCTGTTTTCTCTAGAAAGGTGACTCAACTGTATTTGAAGGGAAGTGGTTACTGCAGCATTCGGTTTGTTGAAAATCAAATAAAAGTTGCAGCAAATTTATTAAGGATTTTAATTTGCTTGGTGGACCTTGCAATATTTTGCGGACCAATGCATGTCACATTTATGTCCCAGCACCTCATCCACTGCATGACCCTGAATTCTCACGTTTAAAATTCATGTATTTCTGTAAAATGGCATTTCAAGTCTAAACTTGAAATAATATCTTCAACACATGACAGTCCCTTTGAAAGGTGCATTTTTCAAGGTGTGCTATTCTTCCCGATTTCAGTGATATGCATGTAAGGAGGGGGGAAAATGAAAAATATTTTGTAATAAGATAAATATCAGACATTTATTCTATGGACAAAAGTTTTAAAACAGAGCATGCTTCTTCATCCAACACTGGTGAAACTTGGTCACAGTAATCTCTACACACTTTTAATCTTGACTGTATTAGTCAAGAAATAGAACAATATCAGCATATTAATAAAGTGTCAGTATGAAAATATTATGCCCATCTGAAGCATATTTTACTTCCAATAAGAACGGAGTGCTTAGAAAAGCAGAAATTTAAGAAAAAGGTATGTTTGTAAAATTTTGAATTTGGTCCTAACAGAAAGAGTTAGGTAAAAGTATTGCTTACCACAGATAACCTAGCAAAGTGGGTTTCTTCTCAGTTTGATCCAAAGTGACATTTGGTGCAGACTGCTCAGGATCCCACCATACCTTTCCTAGACTTATAAAACTATCCTCCCACTCACATGCTAATACTGGATAATTGTAGAACAATTGTTTATGCCCATACCAGAATACATAAGGGTATTGCATAGGGATTTTTTCCCAGCACAACGGTGGCTTTTCCAGACTAGCCCTTGATAATTGGCAAACAATAAAATTTAAAGACAGCTTATTACACAAAATTAGGCATAAATCTGACCACCTAAGGAACAACCCGTATGACGATTTTGCATCTTAAGCTTTATACTTTGCCTTACTGTGTCAGATATAAAAATGTTTTAAGCTGAATAAGTATCTATTTGCAGATATGACTAAACCAGAAAATCTTACTGCCCAGCAGCTGAAGACAGAAACTCAGTCTGGACTGATCTTACTATTCCAGCTGCTTACTATTCAGCAGGGACAAAATTAACTCTATTTTTGAAAAGTTGGGTTTTAACATCAAGGTAAATAAAGGGCATTTTTTCTGTATACATTTTCTTGCCAGACCATTAGCACAAACAAAATTTTATTACAGATCATTCAGCCCACTGTGCCTAGTGTTTTGACAAAATGTCCCTATTATAACACCTTAAATACCTATATATAGCCATTAAAATTTAAGGATTAAGTTTCAAAGTGGGCAAAATGGAGAAAAATAAATAAATGCACAAAAGACAGAAAACCAGAAATTAGCAAGGCATGAATACTAAAATACTACGCATGGCTCACAGAGGTAGGTAGCCTGTGCATGAAATCATACTTTTACTTACCCCTAAAACCTCTACCTAACCCCCTACTCATATGTCAATGAGAAAACAACATTAATATTTTGAGTGCAATATGGTAAAAGCTTTCCTAGGTCTATCCTTGGCCTTTTTCAAGTTAGAGGGGCAGTGTAATTCTTTAACCAATCCCAGGTTTGCTTTGATGATATGTGGTCCAACAGCAATGTCCTTAGCCCCATCAGCTTTCCAGGCGGCCCAGTGTAAACAATGAGTGGCCTATTGGCCATTCCTTTTAGAATTGCTGTGAATGGCTCAAATATAGTATTGTTAACAGCAGAAACAATTCTGAATAATTACAAACAACGGCTTGGTATAAATAAAGAGGTAGACTCTTTCTGACTACATACATGGCAGTTTCTTCACACTCCATAATAATTCCTTTAAAACTTTTACATTAAGATAATAAGTACAGATATTTCAGCATGCCTCTTACTCTGATAAACTTATTTTATAGCATGTACATTCACTAAATTTCACAAGTTACACTGGTAAAATCCTTAAAAAAGAGAGCTGTTTAGTTTC